TAAATATAAATTAAAATCAAACTTTTAATTTATTAAAATAACCAATTTTTCTTTTGTTATCCTTAAATTTAAGTATTTCATTAATTTCTATTAATTTTTCATTATCTAAAATAATGTTCTAATATCAATAATCATTTATTACAAATAGTTATTTTTATAATTATTTGTGAAAAATTCTTTATTTTATATATAATTTTTAAATTTTTAAATTTGAATACATATATTTATAAATTTCCTTTAATCTATTCTAAATTTAATTTGAATTTCTTTATGTAAAATTATTTTTAACATAATAAGAAATTATTATTCGCTGAAATAATAATTTTTTAATTATTTAAAAATAATAATTAAATTATTATAAATTAATGAAGATAAATTAGCAATAAAAATAAGGATTTTTAAATATTTTGCACATTAAAAAATTTTTTAATTAAATTCATATTTTAATAATTCAAATACTATTATTATATTATTATTATAAAACAATATTAATAAAAAACAATTTTTGTTCATTAAAAATCGTGAATAGACAAAAAATAATTTTAGTTCTGTATTTTTGTTCAATTTATTTCCTATCTTTGTAAATAGTTAAAAAATAATTAAAAAAATCAAAATACAATCGTAAATACCTCGATTCATTTTATTCAAATGATCTTCAGAAAAAATGCAATCCAAGAGAAACGAATAATAAAAACATGAGAAATTCCGAGGCAAAAATGAGCTTCAATTCATTTCCGGCTTTAATCTCAAGATAACATGCGCATCCGAATGTTCGAGATAAAATAGATGAGAATTTAATGCGTAATAAGATTCGAAAGAATAAATCTGTAGACGAACCGAATCGACAAAAATAGAGTGAAGAAGATCCTAAAAAATGCGTAATGTCATTATCAGGAACGTGAGCAGAGTTCTGATAAAGGGTGCAGACCATCTCTATTCGTGATGTAATGATAATAAAGCATGTGTTACTACGCACTCCACTAATTACAGTGCAATCAGATTCTCGAAGTGAAATCCGTCCTACGTGGCTCAACATCCGGCCAAGTTTCGCGGAATTGTGTATCAGCGCGCGCTGCTAACGACACGTGGCTCGTTTCCATATGGTCGAAATCATCCCCACTTGCACTAAGGACGAGTCTACCTTTCTACATAAGAATATGTAGAAAGAGATAAAAATACAATGAAACAATTGAACGAATCGAATCTAGATATAGAAAAATTGAATTTCTATTCTAAAGAAATTTGATTTTTATTTTTTGAAAAATTTTGGAAAAAATCTTTATTAAAATGTAAGAAATATATTTGTAAAAAATTATAAATGGATATAAGAAAAAAAGGCATTCGAAAAATTTTAAGAAAGAGATATATTTGAATCAGAAAACAAGTGAATAGTATAAAGTTTACATATATAAAAGAAAAAATTAAAATAATTTTGAAAATATAAAATTGATTGAGTTTCGAAAACAATGAAGATCATCTATCTAAATGATAATGTGTGGATGGAGATGAAAATGCAACAAGAGATGAATTGAATCCTGATATAAGAAAGTTGAATTTCTATTTTAAAGGAATTTGGTTTTTATTCTTTGAAAAATTTTGGGAAAGATCTTTGTTAAAATGAAGAAAAAAGTGTATTTGTAAAGAATGTAAAAAATATTATAGAAAATAACAAGTAAGCATGAAATTTATATATCTAAAAGAAGATAATTTTGAAAATATAGAATATAGAATAATGATCTGGATGAGTTTGAACAACAAATCACCTCTGTTAGAAAAATAAGAAGAAATATACTTAAAATGTTAAAGAATGATAAATGGATATGCTAGAGTTTATATCAGAGAGAAATTAGAAAAATTTTAAGAAAGACATATTTATAAACGAATGGATGATAAAATTTGTATATTCAAAAAGAGATTTTATTAATTTTGATTATATTTAAATTAAAAAAAAATTAAAATTACAGAATTATATATATATATATATAATATAAATATACATATATAAAATGATAAAATAATAAAAAAATTTATGTGATAGAAGAATTCATGAAATTTTAAAAACAATATATTTGTAGAGAATAATGAGTGAATATAAGTTTATAAACGTTAAATAAAATAATTTTGAAAATATAAATATTTGGTTGAATTTATAAAAAATAAAATGAATTGTTCATCGAATCTATTTGATTGAAGATATAGATGGAGATGAAAATATAGAATGAATTAAATTGGTGTAGTAAAATTGAATTTTTATATTTTTATTCAAGTGTTTGATTTTTATTTTTCAAGAAATTTTAAATTTTTGGATAACGAATAATAAAATTATGTTCGAATATAAAATTAATATTTAAAAGAAAGTAGTAAAGAATTTAAAATAAAATCATCAAAAAACATATATTACATTTATTTATTACAATTAAAATCTATTGAATAATAAAATAATATATACTAATATAAAGATGGCGATATAATATTAAACAAATATTTATAAATCAAATTTAAACAAATATTTAATATCAAATTTGTTTTACTTCATCAAAACGATAATCTTTATTTTTTATAAACATATTTTATCTATTAAAATTTTTATTTACCTAAAATAGTTATCAACATTAATAAATATTTATTATAAATAATTATTTTTAGTTTTTTTTATATAAATTATAATTAATAATAATAATATTATTATATAATAATATTATATAATTATTTATTCTAAATTGAATAATTATTCAAAATATTATATAAAATATTATTCTAAATAATAACTTTTCCAAACTTTTAAAATAATATATTTGTAGAAATTTTATGAATATAGAATATAAAAATTAATTAATTAAATTTAGAAAAATAAATTCATAATTTTTCTCATAAAAGCAAATTTATCTAGATTCTATATGAATAAATAAACAAAATGAATGAGATAAATATGCAAGGAAGAATAAATTAAATTATAGTGTAAAAAAGATTGAATTTATATCTTAAAGCTTTATATTTTAAGTTATATTACATATATTATAAGCTATATATTTTAAGTTATACAAAAAAGTTATACAAAAATGTCGATTAATACTTATTTATTCATATGTAGAGCAATTGAAATTGTATTAGATACAAATTGTTAATAATTATAAATTTTAACAATTTTTTAAGTTTTATAAATTATCAAAATAAATTTTTATTTTATTTTATTTAAAAAAATTATTTTACTAATTTTTATTACTTATTTATTTTACTATTAAAATTTCTATTTAAAAATTATTGAGAATTATTATTATTATGTCGAATAATATTTCTTGCACATGTTTTTAAAAAATATTCTATAATTATCCAGTTTTACGATCAACTTTACAGAATTATAATTTCTTAGTATAGAAAATTTACAACTCACTTATCAGAATAATCAAGGACATTTTTTACTGCTAATATTATTGACATTGCTGACTCATTCTGAAAATAATAAATACATTCATAATAGAATTTTATTTATGAATATTGAACTTTTATAAGAATAATATAATTAGAATATTCTAGAATTCGAGAAATAGATTTTATAACTAACATACATATACTTTTATAGATATTTTATAAATTTTATAGATTTTATTATATAAAATATTAAGATCTTAATAAAACAAATTTTTTTACATTTCATTTAAAAAAATGTATTTTAATCGTTCAGAACCATAAGAAAAATTATATAGAGTTGCATAATTATAAAAATATATTAAATAAATATAATAATCAAAATATTTTATTAATCATATTTGTGTTTCATTTTTTTAAAAATATATAATATGATTATATAAATTAAATAACTTAAAAAGTACATATCATATAATACATGAACTTTCATATCGAATATAATTAATCACATATCAAATTTGTTAATCTGAAATTATCTTATCAATGTATTCCATTGATAATATCGATTTTACTTTGGCGCCATCAATGTCCTATCCTAGCATTATATTTTTATTAGATAATAAAATGAAATAAAAATAATTTTTGAATAAATGAACATCGGAAGTTATCGTATTATATTTATGACATATTATGAAATTCATTTAATACATATTATATGACAATATTAATAAAATATTAATAAAAGAATATAAAAATAAAAAGATTGATAAAAATGATTAAAGGAAAGAATAAATTAATTTTTCTTACGTTATTAAATCATTAAAAAATAAAATAATATTAAAAAAATGGTAGATAAAAATATTGAAATCAATATTACATTTAATTGCAAATAATTCTATGGCAAAAACATATACATACATACATAATATATATACACATTTTATAACCTATTTTCAAATATAATTAGATAGAGAATAATATAATTAAAAAAATATATATATAATATAATATAATATAATATAATAAATATAATAATATATAATATAATAATATAATAATATAATAAATAATATATATATATAATATAATAAAATAGAATATTCAATATTACATAATTTTTAATTTATATTCATGAATTTTTTTAATTTAATGAAGTTATTAAATAATTATACAATTTTAAATAATTTTAATTTTAAATAATAAAAAATATTTTAAAATTACTTAATATAAAAATATATATAATATATTTATTATATATATACTTTATTACTTATATATAAAAGTACTTAATATTTCTAAAATTATTTATTATGTTATATTATAACTTTCATATTATTTAAAATTATTTCGAACTTTTTGTATAAAATAATTATGTATATTATTCCAATATATCAATCAAATAAAATAATAAATATCACAATATAAGTAGATAGACAATTTGTATTAAGTCAATACAATAGATCGTTTTAAACAACCTTTTGAAAGGAAAGTGACGATATTTTAACGTGCATCAAATTAATAATTGACTATCGTATATAAATTTTTTAATTGACAATGATTGCTTATATAAAAGATCAAAATATACAGTATGTTAGAAAAGTTAACAAATTTTAAAATTATTTAAGATAATTAGTATGTTAAGAACAATTTCTCAACTGACTCCTGTAGTAGCATCATTTCAAATATGGCTGAAACATCAGCCAGTGTGTAGTTCATATAGTGTAATTGGTTGTTACAGTAGTTCGTATAACGATTTATCTCGCATTACTACGCATCGGCTTAAATATTGCGTGTTTTATCTCTATAAAGTTACGAGAAGAGAATTTCAGCAGTCCAGTAAAACTGTCATCACATGCAGTCAGATAAAAAAAGAAAAAATGGCACCAACGCGTGTTATTCTTTTTTCGTGTGGCAGTTATAACCCTCCAACCAATATGCATTTAAGAATGTTTGGTACATATATATCATTTCTTATAATCAATATCAGTCTCTTCGTAAATATTTCATAAAGCTCTTCAATATGTATAATATAATAGACAAATTTTATAATAACTATATTTTGTTTTGAACAAATCATTATTAAAAATATATTATGTAATCAACGGATATTATCAAGATATAAAAAATCGTTTAGAATGATTAATTCTTTTAAACAAAATTAAATATATATAATTTTTTTATTTTATAAAAATAACTTTAATTCTATCTTTTTATAATATATTTTATAATTGTCATTAAATATAATCCTTTTTTTTATATATAAGTATTATGTATTTTATGTATATATAAGTATTATAAAATTTATATTAAATATTGCAATAATTTTTCATTTGAAATTTATAGAAATTGCCAGAGATCATCTACATAGAATGGGCACGCATATTGTAGTTGGTGGAGTTATATCTCCAGTACATGATGCATATGCCAAAAAAGAACTAGCAAGTGCAACACACAGATGTGCTATGTTAAGATTAGCCTTACAAAATAATGATTGGATTCGACTTAGTACTTGGGAAATTAAACAAAATGGTTGGTCAAGGACTAGAATAACTTTACAATACCATCAAAATTTATTGAATTCCATGGTATTTGATTCAAACAATATTAAACATAATATTCCAATTGAAGATCTGGAATGGATTCCAGAAAATATAAAAAATAGTTCTGATTGTACACCAATTCAAATTAAACTATTATGTGGTGCTGATTTATTAGAAAGTTTTGGAATTTATGATCTTTGGATGGAAGAAGATGTAAATTGATATTCTTTTATAATGCTATTAATAATATTTAATAATGCTATAATAATATTAATAATATTAATAATATTTTAATAATTAAAAGAAATATTTATATTTTTTTTATAGATTGATGCTATTGTTGGAGAACATGGTCTTGTAGTTATTACTAGAGAAGGTTCTAATCCAAATAAATTTATATATGATTCAGACATTCTTTCTAAACATATGGTAAATGATCTTATCAATATTGATTATATATCTCTTATGTAATGTGATTATATTCTAATAATTAACTTCCATATAGCACAATATACACATAGTAACTGAATGGATTCCAAATGAAGTCAGTTCAAGTAAAATAAGAAGAGCATTAAAGCGAGGTGAAAGCGTCAGATATCTCTTACAAGATGCTGTGATTGATTATGTCTATAAACAAGGAATTTATGATGCAAAGACAACAGCATCAACAATGTGAGTCTAACATAATTTAACTGAAATGATAGATCATATAATTAGTGCTAATTTAATAGCATATCTTCCAATAGATTTAAATAAAAATTTATTTTTATGTATTTTGTATGAAAAGCCTATATTTTTATAGCATTCATATTCCACATAGTTGGTGAGTTTAGAGTGTATGGAATTAGTTAACTTAAAAATTGATACAAAGTAATATGAGTATATATTTATGATTAAAATTTAACTCTCTTAATACTCAATAATATTGCACTAATTGTAAGAATATAATAATTAAAATATTAAATTTATTTTAAAAATATGAAATTTAAAATATTGTATGAAAGAATGAAAATAAGAAACTGTTTATTATTATAAATTAATTCTTTAAATATATTACAAATACTATAAATTATATTATAAAAATAGATATAATAGATTTATTTTATAAAAAACATATTTAATTATAAAATGAAAATGAACGAAATAATATAATTATTTTTATGAAATTATATTATATTATATATTATGTATTATAAATCTTGTTAATGAATATTTTTCAATTTTTGAAATTTATTATATTTTATTATATATTTAATGATTTTTTGAATTACTTATCTTAGAAAATATCTATATATCTATATTATAATATTATTTTATAAAAATTATTTATTGAGTGTTAAAAGGGTCACTCATTATTATATGATCATCAAATATTACAAAGCAATATGTTAGTCTAGTCTAAGAATTTTTCATTTGTATATAAATCAAATTTTAACGATCTATTTTTTAATACTGTAATTACAAATAAATCTTAGCAACTGCATTTTTTTTTTTTATATTCCTTACATTATATATATTGATTTCTCTAATTAAATATATTTAATTTGTCAATCATAGTAAAAGTACCGATTCATGATAAAGATAATTTTCCTTTTTTTTTTTTAGTTCCCTTTATTATTTAAACAATACTTTTCTAATAAAAAAATAAGAGAAAGAAATTTCTTATAATCATTCAATATAATTTTTTTTTAAAGTTAGAATAAATTAGATAAAACATTTTTTGTCCTGAATCGGACTTCTACCGAGTATCAAAATAATGAAGACCATATAAAAAATAGTGTCTTGTTTTTCACGCTGCCAATCTACTTGGATACTGAAGTAAGTTGGAACTGACCTCGCCCAATGCGAATAATTACTTGACCATTGATTCCAAGTATCAAAGCACCTTTCTCACGCCGTCGCCTAGCGACGTTACCATGGAATCCCCGAGTCCGATTGAAATTATATCCATCGATGTGCCTGACACTGTTCTGCGTAAGAATATGCAGAACGCAACGAATGTGGCTTGTGTCACCTCACGTCACGTCAGCGGCCTCGAGGAGGCGCGCGAGAAATTTATTAGCGCTCTCGTCGCCGAAAATGGTAACGCCAAACATATAACAACCGCGAAGGCCGCGTATCCAGGTCTCGCGAAACAGATCATCGCCACCGAAACCGGCGAGTCGCAGATCCTCGACGAGGTAGGTTTCGTTGACGATGATAGAAAGATCAGGAAGGTGGTGAGGGTACAGCCCCGATCGAGTCAGCTGGAAGAAGTGTCCTCATGTGTCGCCACTTCGTCGAAATGCGAGAATTTTGTTAAAATTAATGCGAGATCATCTATCGAGGCTAAAGATAGTACGGATAAATCTTTACAAATGATTGACAGAGCTCGAGTCCAATACGATATTATCGATGTAGGATTAGGAGATAATAGTGGCAAGAATCGCAATGTTAAATCTTTGATTTCGTCTTCAACTGTTTCGTCTACAAAGATATCTGCTATAAAAAATGGTGGAGGACGCCACGAATGCGCCTTATCTGATTTCAGCGTGGATAAAGAAGATTACAGGTTGACATGGTACGGTTTAGACGATGCAGTTGAAGACGAAGTCCAAGATGTAGATGAAGATTCTCGGTTAAGCAAGCATAACTTTTTTGAGAATCAGCAGGAAAATCTACAATACAAAAGCCAACAAGCTGATCGAAAGAACAGCGATGAAGTTTATGATCAAGACGGTTTTCCTAGCGATGGTATTCGATGCTCAAATACGCAAGTATTAGTAGTGGTTAGTGCAATGATACATAATGCTTTCGATAAAGAAGGAACGACATTGATTGTCGAAGAAAGTGGTGTACAGAGTAAAGGCGAGATCACGATATACAAAGGTGAATCAGATGGAAGTATCGACAAACTAAGTCTATTGGTACAATCACCTGTTCCATCTTCAATGAGTGATGAAAGCACCGTAAAAATACAAGAAATAATCGATGATGGAACGGAAATGACGAAAGAAAATTCTGATGACTCACTAGATGGAAAATCCTTGAAACGAGATGTAAGCTTAGAAATAGATGGTAAGTATGTAAAGTCTGTGGTAAATGCTTGCAAAAGTCCTAGGAAAACAAAGAACGGTCAAATACGAGTATATACCAATGAAAGTGATGAGAAATGGATAAAAGAGAACGAAAAAGAGGAAAAGAAGAATACCGAATCAGGCACACAATCAGAAGAAACATTTTACAAAACTGTATCAAAATCATCGTCGAAATCAAGAAGTCCTAAAAAAGAAGGAAAATCTCGTTTAAATGGTCAGAAGACGGCTAGCAATTCGAGAATTTACGAGTCCACAGTGATCAGCGACGAAAAAAATAAAAAATCAAAACAATACGATGTGCCTTTGAAAGGAAGTTTGGATTCGGTGATCACTACAAACGATTCTAGAACAATTCCTCGGAGAAAATCGAAAACTGAGGAAATGTTTTCGAAAAAATCAAAGAGTTACGAGTCTATTAAGAAAATGCAAGAGATATGTTATGAAGATCCATCGAAAGCTGATAGCACTTCTCAGTTAATTACAGCAAACGAATTAGACATGCAAACGGATGAATTTTGCTCTGTTTGTTGCTATGTAAACGAGTTATCTCTAAGAACGGAGGATGTCATTGGAACAGAAGAAGTGATTCTACGTTCTAATTGTAGCTCCATCGCTGACGAGGATTCGACAGAATGCGATATTTGTAGTTCTTGGAATTTGCAAGAATCTACTGATACTATAGATCGAAAACTCGTTTCCTCGACAACTGATTGTGACCAACTGTGTGAAGTATGCGAGATCTGCAATGAAATCTGTGCCACGTTTAACCCCGATCAGGAATCAAGATCTTATTCTATAACCAGAGAACCAAGAGATTTGATTCAAGGTCGGGCATTTGAATCTTCCTCGAGAAGTCTTCCAAAAGATAGCTCCAGAATCGGTGATAGTATTGCAATTGATCCATCATTGGATGAAGATAGTTTCGAGATCGAGAATTGTGGTTTTCAAAGTGGATCAGAATCATTAGTTCACCAAATTGATGAAAAACAATTATCCAAGTCTTTTAATATTTCAGATTCGGCCGTTATCAAGAAAAAGTCACGAGACAAATATTTTATTCCTAAGGATGAGCTGGCTATTCTGACCAGTGGCTCCAGACGCATGAATCGTAAAGGATCCTTATTCAGAAAAAAACCAATTGAAGATCCAGTTAATGTTACTCAGGACAAGAGACGTTATTCGTCAGTGGATAATCTTCAATTAGCAAAAGCGTCTTCCAAAAACAATGATAAAGTTTTTAGGCCTAAGAATAACAAGCTGATTGGATCTGCAGATAATATACGTATTTCCAGAAATTCTAGAAGATGTAAATCACTGCAGAGATCAGCAGACAATGTTCGATACATGGATTCATCCACAGATAACTTAGATTCCCTAGTGGAGAACCTAGGAAGGGAGGATGATGCGCAAAATGATCTAAATTGGATGGAGAAGCCAAAGGTCAGAGACAACGAAACTGTAAAGATGATTCTGACCAAACATGGCATTAAGATAATCAGTGAGAAGGAAACTGCTCTGTAATGAAAAAAATATAATCTGTTTGAAAAAAATCGCTCATATTAGTTACAAAAAAGTTACCAAATATATATTATATATAAAACACAAAAATTAGTTCGAATTCTCGTTAGGCCAACTGCAAATTCTAGGATGCAGACTTATCGACACTCTTGTGATAATTCTGATCGATATAACTTCGACAGATACAAGATTTTTCATATTATAATAGAGATCTAGTTAATGAATATACGTATCAATATAGAAAATAAAAAATATATATATTATATATATATACATATATTTATAACTCGGAAAACAAATTCTTTTCCGAAAGAAAGAGAAATGCCAAAAATGTTACAATTTAATCCTACTTACAAATTCTATTTAATTAATAACAATGATGTTCATGCGAAGAGATTCTTCAACAAAATTTCTTCTTCAGAAATATTATATAAAAAGAAAAATAGAGAAAAATCTTGGCATGACATCATTGGATCGCACATTGTTCTCCGTGAAGAAAAAAAAAGAATTCTAAAATGATATGCATATGAGAATATACAAGCCTTGGAAATATTTCTTTAAGAAATACAACCAGAAAAAAAAATATAATATTATATATTATTATTACGTTAACGAACTAATTACGTTAAGAACTGTCGTATATAATTAAACAAATTAAATAAATCGCAAAGTGTATTATTATAATATGCATTTGAAGTAAATTTACAGGATGAAGAATTAAAAAGAAGCTCAAAAACATATATAAAATAGAATTATAACATATATAAAATAAAATTATAGAAATTCGAAGAGAAATCTGGATAATGCACGAAGATTCGAGAACAGCGAATTATCAAGACAATCCTATAATTAACTCGTCAATATTATATTAAAAAAAATAAAAAGAAAATGATTTTAATTAATTATAAAATATTCTATACAAAATATGTAAGAATGATATATGTTAGGATGGGCTGCGATACATCGATCGCGAAGAACGTGATTAATTGATGTTTCTAATGGAATCCGCTGATCTCATTTTATCCTTCATTACAAAGAAAAAAAAAGGATTAGAAAGATAAAAAAGATCGTGCGCTTTCATTTTAAATGTGAAATATTATTCGTTAATTCAATTACAGACTGTCTTTCTGCGCGATGAGTATTGATATAATTAATTGATTTACACATACATACACACATTTGCCAAACAAATTTATATTGAAAATGTGCCAATTGTTTTTTTATATCTTTGTAGATATCGTGCGTTTTTTACTATCTCTCGAACGTCATATCTTTGTATGATAGTTTTTAAATCGTTAATATGTATTTTCTTAAAAAAACAATATAAAGAGAAATCAAGAAGAGAGAGAGATACGAAAAATGTTTCTTGATTCTATTCATCTATTCTATTCATTATCATGCATCTATATCCGTTATTATAATAATAATGAAATAATGTTTTCTTTGTCTCGGGAGATTTCTATAAATATCTTATAAGTTTATTCTTTTATTTTGAATCAGTTTCTTTCTTTTTCTTTTTNTTTTTTTTTTTTTTTTTTTTTTTTTTTTTTTTTTTTTTTTTTTTTTTTTTTTTTTTTTTTTTTTTTTGGTAACTTTATATCTAAATATCATGCATTTCTCTCTCTCTCTTTATCATAAATCTCACTTTGAGAAATAAATCCAGGGATTATAATTATTATCTTTTTTGCAAATATTTTATTCAAATATCAGCGATACTCCACTGCATCTAACTGTGATGAAATCGTTCCTCGAACGAATTAATATACTCATGAATTATATTAAAAAATATCTTTTTTTATAATTAATTTATATTGATATTTTTTTAGAATACTTTTATTATAAAATATTTACTTAGATTTATCAATAGACTCGATTGTAAATATGTTTAGGTGCAATGGAAATGAATTGTTGCTTATAAAAATGTGCAAATTTGTAATTCGAGAATCCGAACTTCGACTCGGATTGGGGAAATTCGAGTAAGATCGGATTTGCAATACTTTCGTATTATTCAAGAATTTTAACTTTAGCTAATCATTTCGATTATTATTTCGAGCAGATCTAAACTATTGCTCATGTTTTAGAAATTTTTAAAATTTTTGAACAATACAAGATAAAGTATTGAGATCTCATTTAATTTTATTCAAACTTCCATTTGATCCGAGCCCATAAATTGATCCGAGGCAATTTTGCACATCTCTAGTTGTTTGGTATAATTGTTGAGCTTCTTAGATATATATCTATGTTTTCATAGTGCCTAATTTCCATTGTTCTGTCAATAATCGCGTCTATTCGACAAGCTATTGTTGAAGAGCATCGTGTTTGCGAATGATTTTGCGAAAAATGATTAGTTTTTTTTAATTTTGTTTTTTTTATTTTTGTTTCTTTAATTTTTTTCTTAATTGAAAAGGATGTCTTTTTTTTTTAACACATTTTTCTTTTCAGCCCTATTTTTTTATTAGTTTGGTACGCAAGCTTAATTTTTTCTACACTATTTTCATTTCCTCTCGAGCAAATTGTTGTTCGTTCTTATTATTTATAACGTAGATAGACGAAGGTGGCGAGAAATATGTTCAAGCTGACAGTATTGATGGTTTAACCCTTTGGGGACGCCACTTTTTCTATAAGAGTATCACATGATCGAATAAACATAAAAAATCAAAAAAAAAAAAAAGAGAGAGCGCGAATGTTTTGCAATTCGATTGATGTATTTTTATTATAGAGAAAATATATATGTCTATTTATTTTTGTTATAAAAAATTCTCATTGACATGGGATTGAATATAAAACGACTACCTGGAAATATACCGGCCTTCGACCGCAAAGGGTTAATTCACGAAAAAAAGTGCTTCCTGAGTGCGACTAAAACAGCCTTAGGCTGTCCTTGTATCATTTTGGACCAATTCGCTTCTTTTTTCTATCCCTATATCGTTCTTTTCTTTGTTGTTTGTATTTTTCGATTATTTCGTGATATGTGAAATGTGTTTGGCCATCACTACTTCTATCATGCAATCGTCATAAAAAATTAAAATTAAATAAAAATCAATGTATTTTCAAAATGTTTTTTTAAATTTTCTTAAAAATTGAAGAAAGAGAACAATGTCTCAAGAAAGAAAAAGAATGTATAGACTTTGATTATAATTGTGAGTATTATAAATTTTTTAAAATATTGTTAGTTTATTATATATATCTATCAAAGATATTAATATTTTAATAATATTTTTTAATTTAAATTTAAAATAATTATATCAGAATTTTTATAAGAAAATATTTAAAAATAAATTTTTCAAATTTTTTTATAATGTTGATAATATAGGTTTAATTTAAAAAGAGATGAATAGTTTAAAAAAATACAAGACTTGTAATTTCAATTTTAATTAATTCTAATAAAAAAATATAAATATAATCGATATCATTTTTATATTTTATAAAATTTGTTGAAAATTTTGATTTATTTAAAAATTTGCAAGAAAATAGAATAGAAATATATTAGAAACTATAAAAGATATAAGATATAGAAGATATAAAAAAAAAGTTGTTTCCACTCTAAATAAGAAAATAAAAAAAGAATCCATGCATAATTTACAAACCTATCAAGTTTTAAAAAGATAGAAATTTCAAAATTTTTTTAAGATAAAATGAATTGACAAAAAATCAATTTATCGTTGTCTTACTGAATTTGAAGATAAACTATTGTAATAAACAAACTAATCAATTATTTAAATCAAAATATTTCATTTTCATCTGTATGAATAATCTCGTATAGATTCGCCATTTTTCTGTTTTAGATTTCTTAAATCTAATCTGTTTTTAGATCTTTTATAACGAAATTATGTTCGAGTTCTATATGTTAACAAAATATTCATATTCGTTTTTATGATATATTATTCAATGATATCTCTTTCTCAATTTTTGAATTCAAGAAATATTCATCGCCATGCGAGAAAATATTATTATGAAAAGAAAACGAGATAATCGAAATCCCTCCTTCCTGATGGCGTGATAGAAGTTGATGTATGGTTCGGTTCTGATGGAGCATGTGATATGTGTTTTCCAGGGTACAGCAAAACCTGCATGCCTACTGTAAGACAGATAATTGACTGTCTTGTTGCTGCTCGACCCATGCCAATCCGATGCGGCCCCTGCCTTACTGCTAAATGTTCTAATACTGCTACTAACAATCGCGATAGTAATGGCGTTAGTAGCACGGCTAACAGCAACAACATCGACAACTACATCAACAACAACAAGAGTTTACACGCCTACGAGAATATTCAGAGCTTTAGTATACGCGAAAATATTCCTATTAGTTGCGCGATTAATCGCGATTAGAATTTTCGTTTCTGTGCAGTGCTGGGGAAATTTGATAAATCTTTTCCATATCTCGAATCACAATTTAAATTTTTACTGAAATTTGTTAGAATAGAGAAAATAAATTTATTAATAATATTTTTTTTTAATCGTAAAACAATTATTAATAAAAAATTTATTTTCTTTTTTGTTATTAATTAAAAAATTAGTTTAAAAATTTATAAGATAAATTTTAATGGAATTTTTATGAATTTATCAATTTATTGATTTTTTTATTTAAATTATTTAAAAATATCGTTTTGAATAGTGTTTTATTAATTTTTGATTAATATTAATTATTAACATTATAAGTTATATGCAAACAAATTTAATATTTTTATTAACGTATTTTATAGAGAAAAAGTATGTAATATTTTAAAAGTATAAGTATTATTTAAAAGTATGAAATATTTTATAAAGATATATGTTTTATTTGTTTATTTACTTTTTAGTATCTTTTAGAAACAGAAATTCTTTTAGATTAAAAGTACAAATTATAGTGGTTATATAGGAAAAAGAATTTTTAAAATTTTTATCTTTTCAATATTAAAATTATAAAAATTGAAGATTTATCGTATCTAGATTAATATAAGATTCAAAAGCTTTAAAGAATATTTGTGAATTGGAATTGCTTTTTTGAAGTAAAAGTATAGCATAGATAATATTTTTAAACTTGAAAAAATGGAACTATTTTTTTTTTAAACAAAAAAAAATGAAAAGAAAAAATATATATGTATATATCTTATTAATATTTATTTTATCTTGATCGAAAGATATCAAGATAATATCTTTTTATTAATTCTTATTATCAATGATTTAATGTTAAGCAAATAATTTAATTATAATTACATCCTATTGATTTATATACATCCTATTATTGATTTATATAGAATTTATTGTTGGTTTGTACAATTAAATTAATTGAAAAAATTAAAACTCAGTTTTCGAATACTATTATCCCCAGCACTGCTTGCTAATTGGAAAAATTTTGCAATTTTTTGATTCTTTTTTTTCGTATTCAGATCATATTTTTTAACGTTAGAATTTGATACATTTTTTTGCACCATTAATGTTAAAAAAATGGTGTCAAATTTGATAATTATATTATATCTCACAATTGTTTCAAAAGAAATTATCTGCAAAGAAAATTATTAAATTTTATATAAAACTTATATAAAAAATTAATTAAAAAATTTTTTACAATTTATATTAATAAATAAATTTATAAATGACATCATTTTTTTTATCATTAAAAATTCACAAAATATTTCAAATTCTATCATTGTATGAATTTGTGAATACACGAGCACATAAAAGCTTGTTAAAAGGCATGTATTTAAATATTAAAAAAAAAAAAAAGAAAGAAATGCTATTTAATATCTGGCACGTTATCAATGTAATAAGATCATTATTTTCATTTTTTATAAAGATTTAAACAAAGCTTAAAAAGAAAAAATAAAAACAAATAATCATAAAATTGTTTCTATTAATTACATTTATTGAATTATTATTATAAAATAAAGAAACATATATTAAATTATTAACTTCATTTATTTAAAAAAAAGATTATATATTATTATTATTTTTTTTTTTCACAATATATTGTTATTTTCTCATAATAAATAATAAATCGTATAAATTATGTGTTTATAATTGTAGTTATGTCGCAATATTTGCAGCAATCTCTGCTTGTTATTTTTAATTGCAATAGATGTTGCCTATTGTCTTCTTCTGTATTCAATGATGCATTAATTAAAAATAATTTCTGCTTTGGTACTTATTTCGGACAATTTACGAATGTTGTTTCGAAATGAAATCAATGGTCATGCGGACACGCAATAAAACATGCAGTCAAAATTATATATAATCAAATAGTAATTATGATATATAAAGCTGCATCCTCATTACAGCAATAAAGATAAAATTTTTTTTGCTTGATGTTGTTATATGTTACAAAAAAACATCTAATAAATTGAAAAAACTTTTTGGTTCAATGAGGACGTTGCTTCATATTTTATGTATGAAATTTAAAACTTTTACCTTTTACTTTTATTTTGTAAAATATTAATTAAATATAATAAATGTTAATTGTGATTTCTAAAGTAATTCGAAAAAAAAATCGAATTATATATAAGATTTATTCGTATGTTTTGTTAAATAGAAAACAATTTTATCAGAAAAATTTTACTATTGTATTTTATTACTATTGTAAAATATGTGCGATTTTTGTGAGCAGCAAAAAATTTCGATTTAGCATCCCTTGGATATAAGAACGGATTTATAAAAAAAAATTAAAATAATCAATACATATTTTATATACGTTAGCAAGAACGAAAGAATGAAAGAATGAATGAAAAAGAAAGAATGTTAGAAATTGAATAAACGCGAAAGAAATTCGACGTGTTTGAATCATCATTATATTTTTAAAAAAAAAAATTTTCTTTTTTAATTACAGTCGAGAAGATTCTTTGTAAAGATTATGAGTATCTAAATAGTTGAATTTCAATTTTTTCTTCTAGCATTATTTAATACATTAACGACCTTAATGTAATATTTAAGTGATACATATATTCTTCCATGACTAAAACTAAAAATAAATAAAAATAAAACTAAAAATAATAATTTATATTATTTATCATTAATTATAATTAAATATGATATTTAATTCACGGTTACTTTATATTTCTATTTTTATTTCAATTACAAAACTTTTATGAATTTTTCATTATTGGTCGCTAATGTGTTAATTTATTAACTTATAACACTGAACTTTACACTCTAATGGATTTATATATGTTATCTTATTTTTAAATGTTTATTATTAACATAATAATTATTTTTAACATGAATATGAAATAATATTTGAAATTTAAAATTTAAAAAAAATTTTTTTTTCGAATAATTATTATTAAAAAATAATTGAAAAAAAAATTCGAAAATATTAATGAACTTATTAGAAGTTTGCAAAATATAATTAAAAGTTAAAAAGACTTCATCTTTTATAAAAAATATCTAATGAGTTTTTAAAGAATAATTGAAATTCATCTGTTAGTTTATTGACTGCAAATTTAACAAAATTGTTCGATGCGATTTCCGGATTAGAACGAATTTTATTAATATATATCATGAGTCATATTAATTTTCATAAATAATTTTCATAAATATCCAATGATTTTAGGGATCTCGATTTCAAAACAAGTAAAAGTTGATATATAAAAATACTGAAACTTACTTATTGAACTATTCACTTCATTCTGTCTTCATCTTTCTTCATTTAATGTAAACTTAATAAATAAGCTTCATTTTGATATATTAATTTTTGTGTTTATATTGATCTCTAGAATCAATTTTCCAAAGAAATAATTTCATATTAATACTTCATATATAAAACAAAATATTTATTTCGTTTTCTCATTTATCAGTAGAAATATTGATCCGTATTGATTTAATTTACCAGTAGAAAATATATCTCTTAATATATATATATATCACATAATTACACAAATTAAAATTAAAAAATAAATAATAGTTCTTAAATATAGAATTCCATATTTTCAATCTTTTTTATTTGTTTTATTCAATCATTTTTTCATATGGTTGATAACTTATAATTAATAATAATTTTCAATAATAATAAATCAACAGAATATTTTATGAGCAGCTATATTATAATAATTTTTAGAATTAATTTCGTTAAAAATATTTATATTTTTTCAAAAACAAAAAATCTCAGAAATTTATTTTCAAAGATTTAGTAATCCTAATATTAAAAAGATTCTGTGGATTTAAATACTTATGTTTTATATATACTTATATATCTCATTATTTGTTGATTATTTAAAACAAGATAAATTTATTGGAGTGCAAAAATCAAGTGTTATAATTCTTTGTTTAATAATAATATAATAATAATATAATAAGTAATCGCCAAAAAAATCTTCCATCAAATAATCAAGCGAATAATATTATTTTTGATATTAAATTTTATTATAATTGTGTGATTGCGTAATTTATTTGGCGATCTCTCATCTAAATGCCAAGCAATTCTAAGTCATCATTAATAATATATTTATTTTAAAAGATTATTGAATCAATTACATGGCAAATTTTATTGATAAAATTATTATTATTATCAATATTAAAATGACGATATTTGTTTCTTCAAATGAATATTTCTTTTAAATGAATATTTTACCATTTTAATCTTTTATTTTGTAAAAAACATTCCATTATCGATGGTCGATGTGACGTAACCCAATAATATTATCAATAAATATACTCCAGCTTAAGAGCAACTTAAAAAAAAAAAACAAATAAAAATAAAAAAATATAAAAAATTCACACGCATAGTTCGCACGTTGTATATGTTTGTATATTATGTTAATCTCCGATAATAGTGATTGTTATAACACATATATCTGTGAAAGATAAATAAACATGTAAAAGGAGATCAATAAATCAAAAACAAAAAATTATATTTTATTGATGCCAAAATTGCTTCATCTTTATCTATTATTTACAATTTATTATTTTACAATTAATTCTCTCTAATCAATACCTTTTTAGATTAAACCTTGATTTGGATTATTTTGACGTGATCCCAGAACTATAGAAACAAGAAATTTTAACGAAGAATAAAATTAAGGTAAATTTTCTTTAATATATCTTATTTGAAATATTTCTTTTATTAAATCAATAACTATAATTTTTTATTTAACTATCTTAATTTATCATAAAACGGTAACATCTGAACACGTTCTCTTTTTTTATAAATTTAAATTTAAATTAATACTTCTAATGTTACTATTTGTTTAAATTACATCGTATTTTCTTATTAATTATACAAATCATCGAAATTTAAAAAAAAAAAATTTTTTAAAATATATACAATTTTCCTTCTAATGAATTAATATTAACTCTAAGCAAATGGATTTAGATTATATAAACTAATTATGTAATGATCGTAAAAAAGATATTTTTACATTATACATAAATTAAATTATCTTATGTTTTCTCTTATGTTTGAATGTTTTTTTTTTTACATAAATCATTTTATATTTATTATCTTACATCTTTTTTTTTAATAAAAATAAGGAAAACGTTAAAAGACCCAAAATCCATCCAATAATCACAAAAAATCCTGTGAATATTTCTGGTTTATCAATAGAAATTCCTTTTTGCATAACTTTCCTTAATGATATTCCTGGCATTGTCACAGGCATACTTAATCCAAACCACCGAAGACCTATTGGCATTGCTTCAATCGGCCATATTAGTCCTAAAAAATATCAAGAATTTCTGAATAAGTATTATGTATATTTTTTTCATTCAAATCTAATTTTTTCTTATTCTTTTTTTTTTGTATATATTCCAAGTTTTTCGTTTTATAAAAATTAATTTAACAAGAATTTAATAAAATATTAAACATATACAAAATAAATATTAAAAATTATATAATACAAAAATACAAATTATAATTAAAAATTAAATTATTTAAATAAATATACGTGTTTTATTTTAATATATATATGTTTTAATTTAAATTAATACAATATAATAAAATTATATGTAATTTTTTATATATAATTTTCTAAATATAATTTTTTTACATAAATAATTATTAATATATAAATATATAATTATATGTAATATATACATATAATTATATAAATATAAATATAATAAATATAATTAAATTATGTTTAATAACTCACCACTAAGGAGTGTTAATGGATAAGTTGTCCCTACTGACATGTAGCAGGCCAAAGATTGATTATTAGTTACCACTGATATAAAGAAACCTAAAAACAATTTTTTTTATTATAAGATAACATTATAATTGAAAATTAACGAAAAACATATTATCATAAAAATTTATGATTATATGTATAAGGATTTTGAATACTTAAATAAAACATAAAAAATATAAATAATCAATAAATTTCAATGAAAATTCTCTTTCAAAAAAAAAAATATATAAAAACTAATTCATTCTAAATGAAAAAGATACATTTCTTAAAATATAATTTAAACAAAAATGATTAATGAACTTACATCTCTATTTTTACAAAATCAAAAAATACTAGATAAAAATACTAGAATATTTTCAATTATCTTTTAGATGTACATATATATATATTTATATCATAATAATATTAATTTAAATTATATCAATACTTAATATTCATTATTTATTATTATATTATTTATTATATGTAATTATTTATTATTATTTATTATTATATGTAATCTTGAAAGATTTTTCTAGAAAAATGCATCGTGTCTCTTGATATTCGTTTTAATTAAAAAAGATATTTGTTTTATTTTGTCTTTTAAGTTATATTTTTTGCAAAAAGATATTAAAATTTTATTATTCATACTTTTTCGTGAAAAAAAAAAAAACAAATATTAGATATTTTTAGAAATCAGGCAAAAATGATAACAATTATCTATTTCATTGTTCATTAAAGTTATTGATTCAAAAAGAGATTAAAAAAAAATTATCATTTGTAGAATATTAATTCATAGAACTCTTGAATTATGGATTGAATCAATTATGGAAGCAGGTAAAAAATTAATCGAAATATGTCATAATGGGATAAATTCTAAATATCAAAATTCGTACTATTTCAAATCTAATTAATTTATAAATATTTAATTTTTTTTTAAATATTTAATTTTATATCTTATGAGATTTGAAGTCCTTAAAAGCATGGTTATTCGATTATTTCATCTTAAAATATATTGAATTATTTAATTACTAAAATTAATTACTAAAATGTTTAATAAACAATAAGTATCAATAAAATTTAATGGTTTCAATAATGTGACTTTCAGCAAAAAAAAATATTATAATTCGCACGCTATTGATAACTTCTACTTGTTTCTAGACAATTCTCTTATTATGTACTATTTATATTTTTATGTAAAAAATATATTAAAAACTTTCTCTAATTTTGATTATGAATCTCTTAAAAATATATTTGTCTTTTATAATAGTTTTAATTAATAGTTTTAATAGTTTATAATAGTTTTAATAGTTTCAAGCACTTACCAGCTGCCATTCCAGCAATTCCTGCGAATAGAGTCATGAAAATAACGACAATTATTGATCCTTCGCAATGTGTATCGTATTCCAAAAAAGTGAGTAATAACATGAATGTGACTTGAAGTATAATTATAAAACATTGCCATATCATATGGGTAAAGAGAACCTCTGCCGTTTTAACACCTGTTTAATATTAATATATAGATTAATTATTTAAAATATATTAAAATAATATTAAAATATATATAAATATATAAAACATAAATTATTCTATATTATCATATAGGAGACTTTTTATTAATTTACTCCTATAAGATTGAATGGTCATTTAATGATTAATTAAACAATATAATTTATACATCGTAAATAAAATATAAATACATCTATATATATGCTATTTTATATTTATATATAAAATATAAATATAATAATATCAATATTATAAGTTAATAATATATATAAATAATAATAGCAAAATGATTATTTTTCAAGTCAAAAAAAACGAAAAAAATTATGTTTTATATTTTATAAGGAAAGATTCAAATTTAAAAAATTATAAAATTGAAAATATTATTTATACTTTTTCGTGAAAAAAAAACATAAAACAAATATTAGATATAGTGCTCATATAAATATTATATGATAATTTTTTTTTGCTGCCCAAAATTATTTTAAAATCAAATAAACTTTTGAAAATTCGATTTCGATTTTTCGTATAAATCACAAATTATGCGAAATACAGAAAACGTTTTCTCAGATAAAAATTATTTACTTTTATAAAGACTATCGTCTGTATAACATTTATCAATTGTTTATATAATTAAAAATAATTATAAACAACAAAATTAGCAATTTTTTCTTAAATTTATTTTTTAATATAAAATTTTAATCAATTCTATATTTCAAGATTATTAACGAAAAAATACATATAAAAAAAAATAATTAATATTATTTTATTTAAAAATCGTTTTAAGCAAGTTTGTTTTTCTAAATTGCTTATACGAATTATTATTTAACATCTGTACGTATTAAATTAAATTATCATATTAAAACTATATTTATTTATAAATTATAAATCATATAATGAACATAAATATAATTTTTATATAATAATGAAAATAAGTATAACATGTAACCGTTAAAATATCGTTAATTTAAATATATAATAAAAAAAAGATAATAATTTAAATGATATGATGATATAATCATTTAAAATGATAATTCATTATGAGATATCATGTATATAAAGTGTTACTCAAAATTACACTCATTAATTGCATATAATTAATATGTTCAGATGAAAAACTATATAAAACGTTGATTAAAATGTGTTTATAAAACTTAATATTTAAATTGATTTTAAATAATTTATTGTTGTGAATATTTTTTTTCCAAATATCATTATAATAAAAACTTACCTTGTACTAAGATTCTATTCCAAACGCCAGAATGACGATCACTTATAATTATAGTTGAAGAATAGGCTGTTGCCACAATGTGTAACATTCTAAAGACATAAAATTCGTTTATATGGATAAAAAGTTAATTAATAAAAAAATTCTGATTTTTATAATGAAACTCACATTAGTATATAAGTTGGAAAAACAAAAAGTTCATAATGTGGTTCCAGCGTACCATAAACAGGATTTTCAAACTGTAAAATATAATATACATTAATATTATACATTTGAAATTTTTTAAAAAGAATTTCATTAAATATATATACCTTAATAGGTGCTTTGCCATATTTCTTTTCAATTCCACACTCTTTTAATATATTCTGGTACTCTGTGAGAAAATCATCGTATAGTTTTCGTTGTGCAAATAAATTAATTTGTCTATCTAAAAAATTAAAAAAAATTAAAAAAAATTAAAAATTAAAAAAAAATTTCAATTAATATTTAAATTATGTATAATATCCTTAATTTTTCATAACTATTACCAATAAACATGAATCTTTTATCGCTAATAAATTCAATCAATTTTTAAATGATTAAAATTATTCAATTTATGAATTGTTATCAATGAATAAACAATTTTAAATCGTTAAAAGTAATAATAAATCTGTGACTTTACTTTATTTTACAAATTTTTTTCGAAAATAAATAATCAAATGTGTGAAATATAAAATATGTTAAAAAAAAATTAAAATATATTATTTAAAATAATTACTTGATTCTAAAAGAAATAAATTAAAAACTGAATAATATATTTATTTTTGTTAGCATACTTGGATTATATAGGCCAACATGAATCTGAGAGACGGAAATTAAATTATCAGGCATATTTAAAGGATCTTTTATCCTTTCTTCCAAAGCAAGAGAAAAATTCTTTTCGAAATGCATTATTCCGACGCTTGAAAAATCTGAAATTTCCAACTCCGCTTGTGTATAGTTTTCGTAAAACATCTAGAAATTAAATATAATTATTATAATAAAATTAATCGTTATTCTACAAAATTATTCTATTTCAAAATAATAGTATTACTAATAATATTATATGCACGAATTATAAATTCTGTATCGAAATAGATATTTATCAATTATTTAAAATAAGAATAACACAATTTTAATTATTTTGTAATAATATATTCCATTATATTTTTACAAAATATTTATTTTTTAATATATAAATAATCTATTAATAAATATAATCTATTTAATAATTTTTAATAACTTTTCAGTGATCAGAATTTTAATTTTTAAATACGAAAAAACGAAAATTAAAATTCTTATAAAATACATATTATAAATTATTAGAATTAATTTTTTGCATTTGAAAAGTGATCGTTTATCAATCAATTCTGTATTCGGAAAAAAATAAATAAAATTGCAAAAAAAATTCAGTGGCAAAATTGAAAAATATATTGCAATTATTTCTTGATTACTTAAAATTCTAAGTGAAATGTATAGAGTTTACATTTTATAGAAAAATTATAAAAATTAAGAATTATCGAAAATTTCAATAATAGTCTATATATTTCAAAATATATGTTTTTATAGAATTGTAATATTTGTTTTTTTCGTTATAGAAAAGTTTTAAAAAACTTGTCATAGCTACAACGTGATTTTAATTTAATAAAATATTTGCATTTCTACATAATAGAATTCATTTCTATTTTTATATTTTAAAAGATATTCATCATGTTTGTTGAAAACATAAATTATTTTTTTCGAGTGCAAAGATTAATTATCTGATTATCTAATTTATATAAAAATATAAAATTTTAAAAAAGATTAAAATTTGCAATTTTATTTTATAATTTAGTATTATTAATATGTATCAAAAAAGAAAGTACGAAAAATTTATATTAAGCAAAGAAGATTTGTATTATAAAAATATTAACTAAATATAATTGATTATTAATCGATTTTTTAAACCACAAAATAATATTTGCATACCTTCTCTAAAACAGTATTATTTATTCCTTTTATAAATCTACAGCTAATATCAGTAAAATAGCAATTTTTTTCATAATCATCGTACATAATATTTCCTAGAATTCTTCCACCATCACAATTTCCTGCTTCTTCATTTATGATAAATATCTTTAAATCTTTCGGATCTCCACCAATTCCATTGAAAAATGTTATTATTTGTATCATTGGTAATAATAACGCAAATAAGATTCCTCTAAAAATAAAAAAGATAAAGAAAAAAGGAAATCAAATTAATGTTTTTCTAATTCAATTTAATATTTTTCAAATATTTCTTTATAATCAAGTATCATAATTACCCTGGATTACGTATAAATTGAAATATATTCTTAAGTAGTAAAGCGTACATCCTTGATTGCCAACTGCTTTTTAAAATTCGTTTAAACTGAAATAATAATAAAAAATTTTATTATTATTATTATTATTAAAGATGATTTGTAAGTCGATATTTATCAGATCTTAACATACTGAATATCGTGATATTAAATTAACAGGCATTAAACTTGCTATACGCAAAACACACAAGAAGTCATCTGACATTCAATATTTTAAGGAATTTTTTTTTGTTATATATATATATATATATATATATATATATACATTAACTTTCTATTATATAATATTAACTTTCCTAATTTATATATTATTTACTAATTTACATTTATTAATTTTTTATATTTTTTTTTACTTATTATTTTTTTTATCATTTGTTATTTTTTTTATATAATAAATTATATATTATGTATATTTTATTATATGAATAAATATATACATAATTTAATACATCTTTAATTTATGATATACTTTATTTATGATCTAAGCAAGACTTAAAAAAAGTAATATATATATAAATTTTATTCTAAGCTGATTATTTTTTTAACGATCAAGCTTATAAGCTCTAATAAATGAATTAATTATTACTTAACATTAATATTTTTAATATCATTAAGAGAAAAAATATGGAAATAATTAACTTGACTTATATTTTTAAATATGAAGCTAATACTGCATTGAATCAAAAATCATTTGATACATTACGAAAATATCGATATATGTTTAATATTTTATGAAGATTTTAATATTTTAATTTTCATTTCTAAATATTACATATTAATTCTAAATTGGCAAAGTAAACATATAGACACAATTAAAAAAAGCAAGATAGATGCAATACAATTACCTGATTATAATATTCAAAAATGAAAGTATCGAATAAACATCGAAATTTTTGTAAGATATCAAATAGTTATCGAAGCATTCATAAAGTATCAAATAAATATCACTATCTTTATGAAATAGTAATATTTAGTTTTTGATTCGATACAGTATTGATTTGATATTAAAAAATGATAATCACCTTAAGAGGTGTTGGCATCGAAAAACATCTAAAATTTCGATGCATGTCGATACTGGATCGAAATTTGCTACTGGTATTTATATCGATACAACCACTTTCCAATCTATCAATATTATCTACTAATTTCCAGATTTTTTATTTTTGAATAAAATTGAAGATTCGTTTTTCACCTCAGGATTTCCCGAAAAGGTCATCACTTCATGCATTTCTTCTATAGGCTGTATCGTAGATTGCTCGAAACTTGAATGTGGATTTTGTGATTGCTGTTGGCTCAAAGTCAAGAAAGCTTCCTCCAATGAATCGGTTTGAAATCGCGTCAATAATTCAGTCGGTGATGATTGAGCTAACAATTGTCCACCTCTCAGTAATCCAATCTAAAATTTACAATAGATAATAATAATATAGCTTGTTTTTTTTATAATAATTCGATTTATGTTTTCTATGATATTATGAAATATAACATTATGAATCCTCTAATATATTGAATGAGTCATATAATGTGATCACTTGAAAAAATGAATAAACTATCTATTATTATATAAATAATTTTTAAATCAAATGAATTGAAAATTTTTTATGAGAAATAAAATATCTATATTGATTAATATATTAAAAAATTTATGATTGAAATATAAAAAAACAAATGACTTTCATATATTTTTTTATATCATATAATTTTTCATATAACAAATAATTTATTTATTATTCAAATAATTATATTACATGAATCATCCCAATCATAATAATTTATGATCTATCTATTGAAATATGCAACCTTTTTTTTTCGAAAAAAGTTTTTTTTCGAAAATAATTTAATTGTAATTAGTAACAAATTTAAAATAAGAAGATTTATAAAAAAATAAATAAGAAAATTATTACTTAAAAAAAAATTATAATTTACCGTATTTGATTGTTTTGTTTCTTCGACATAATGCGTAGTTATTATCACAGTAGTACCCATTTTCGTGATTTCCACTAAATGATTCCAGATACTGTGCAAAGAATCTTTATTTACATCAATTGCAATTAACATTATAACATATAAAAAGTATAAACAAACAAAAATATACTTGCTTTTCACATAGAAGTGGATCTAAACCTACAGTGGGCTCATCAAGTATTAATAATTCTGGCTTGTGAAGCAGAGCTACGCCAAGCGATACCCTTCTTTGTTGACCACCACTCATCTGTTTTATTAAACGATCCCTTGGTGGTAACTGAAGTAAATCCTTCAATTCCAAAAATCTATTTTCTGAAAATAATTTTTCTATGAATAAATTTGATAAACAAATTAAATTAAAAAAATTTGTTCTTAGAAATTCTATGTAATTTTATGAAGACTAAATTTATCAATTAATCATTTTTAATTGTTGTATTAAGTTATTGAAGATTATTTTTTTTTTTTGAAAATTTTATTAAAATATTATTCATTATTATTTTTCTATTTTTTTTTTGATCAATTATAATAGAAAAATATAAATATAAAAATATATGATTTTTCCAAATATAATTTATATCAATTTATAATTTATAAATTATTAAAATAATTATAAATTATACTATTACTTATTATTACAAATATTCAATATTTACTATTTTAATTATTTTATTTTATTTATTTTATTTTTTTATTTTAATTATTTTATGATGCAAATGTTTTATATTGATTTGAAGATATCATATTTCGAAAATAATTTTTTTTATTTTTTTTACGATTATTATTTTATTTATTGATATTATTTTATATATAGAACAATTATATAGAAAAATCCCAAAAAATTATATTGCATTTAAAAAATAAAATGCAATAGTATAGTGCAAGTTAGTTAGAGATTAAGTATAGTCGAGATATCTAAAAGAAAATTTTTTTTTAATTAAGTAACTGAAATAAATCTTTTTTATCGATAATTTTTATTACCAAATTACAATTCGTTAATAAAAAAAAATATCTTTCACTTGTAATCATTTATAATATTATTTTATAATAAATATGTTTAAAAATAGATAATTTTTAATCATATGATTTTCAAAAAATTTTCTTTATATTTTTTTTATATTATTCTGAATTTAAATAACAAAAAAATATTCGTTTATGATTTTTTTCATAACTTATTTTTTGGAATAATTATATATTTTATGAACTTTAGTTTTACAATTCAGGAATGCTTTATATGATAAATTTTGTAAATGAAGTAAAACAACATCCGAATATTAATGCGATCAACTGTATTTCTATACTTGTTAAATTTAATTTTTAACAAAACTTTAAAACTTTAAAAAAAAATTATTTAAAATTCTTAAATTACCAATTTCTTCACTTCCTAGGCCATTGATTCTTCCAAAAAAATGAAAGGAATTTATTGCAGAAAATTCATCGACCAATGCAATATCCTGAGGCATATAACCAACACGAGGTCCTGGGATTCCGGAACTTTTACTTCCAGGTTCACCACCAAGTACCGTAATTTGACCACTGTCTAATTTTTTGACGCCAACTATGCAAGAAAGTAGAGTACTTTTGCCACAACCACTGGCGCCTAGTAAACCATATCTAATAACAATAATGAATCAATAAAATAATTAAAATTAATTCGATTCGGGTATGATTGGTTAACATTTTTTGTTAGAGAAAAGTAAAGATAAAAGAATTAAATGTGATTTTTCCTCAGAAATTAAAACTTCAACTTTTGGATTTTTTTTATAGAATTAAATGAATACATATTATTTGTAATATCTTATAAGTTTCAAATTCAAATTTGATAATAAAATAAACGAAATATCTAATTATCTATAAAATGTAATATTAAATTATTAAATATAAAATTATAAAAATAGAAATTAATTTATTCATAAATATTATTAATAAATAAATAATTTTATAAGATATGATGTAAAATTGTAATAATTGAAATTTTTAAAATAGTAAAGATTTCAAATTCAAATTTGATAAAATAAAGAAAATTTTATAAATATATTATATTATACATAATATATATTATGTATATATTTTATATGTTATATTATATTATACATAATATATTTAATTATCTTATGTAATGTAAAATTATAAAAATAGAAGTTAATTGATTAATATTAATTAAGTTATTCTATAAAAAGAATTTTCATAATTAAGTTGAGACTGAAAATTTATATAATTACAATTGTAACAATAATCTTAAATGAATAATTGTTCAATTTATTGCTACATATATAATAATTATATTTAATAATTAAGTTTTTTACAGAATAAGTCATTTTATTTTTAATAAATCATGAATTTCAAATAATTAATACTAATAAATTTTATATAACAATGATAAGTTTGATAATAATCAAATAAATCAAATAAATCATTTTAAATAAATTTTACAAATGACAATACAATTTATAAATATAATATTTTATTTATAAAATTGTAAAGAAAAAAATAAAAAGATATTATTAACAAGTTATAGTAATTTTATTTATATAAATTTATTCGAAACAAGTTTTTGAAAATTAATTCATTAACTGAATTTAATATTATATATATATATAAAATTATATAATATTATATATATAAAATTTAATAATAATACATTAATTAATAATAATAAGTTATTAATAAATAAAATTTCATTTTATTAGTTTTTAACTTTTATTTTATATTTATTATATTTTTACTTACATTGTGTTCGAAGGAACAGAAAGATTCAAGTTGTTTAAAATAACTGCCTTCTCTCCATATGCTTTTCTAGCATTTTTTACAATTATCGCATATTGCACCATTTTGCTTTTCACCATATACAATTGAACACAATCTGCAAAAAAAATTATATAACATTAGAATCACATAAAAATCAAACTTATTAACTTCATTGTAATTAATGATTAAATTGATCATATTTTGGCGACAAAATTAGAAACTGATTAATTTGATTCCTAAATAAGTCATGAATTATTTTAATCCCGTTAAATGTTTATAAAAAAATATATATATTTTATATAATATTAATATATATTATTATAAATATATAAATTTTATCCATCGTAAATCTGATAATCAACGAAAAATATTTACAAAAACATTGTTGGTAAAAATTTTTCTTTATTTGAATATATCGAAAAGAAAATCGATTTTAAATATTTATAATATATTTTAATAATATAAGTTAATAAATTAAACTACTTCAAAATTTAAAAATAATTAATCATTTTGGTATCTTTGGATTTATTTAAATCATTTTATATTTGATTTTTATTGAATAGTGTTATTATAATATATATATATATTTTTATTATATTATTGATATTTTAGGAACTTTCAATTTGCAATCTATTATTTCCATATGTTTTATTGATATAATAACAAAAATTCATCCTTTTATTTCTTTTATTATTTTTCCATGACTAAAATATTTAATTTTAATTCATTTATGAGAATTCTAACAAGTTTTCATAGATAAAGTATCTCATTTAATTTTTGTTGTGAGACTTATTAAATAATAGAATAAGATGATATTGTTGTGAAATAATATTTTTTTATATTTTAGACTATATATAATAAATATAATATGACTAAAAATAATTTGAATTGTAAAAAAATATTTTTATATAATTTTTTTTAACAAAAAATTATCAAGGTTAAAAACAATTTAAAGTTTCTAAAAATTGTATTCACTCATTGTCTATTCATTAAATATAATTCACAAAAAATCTATTGGATGATATATTTTTTTTTACATAATATACTTTTTATTGTAATTACTTTTTTCCGGATTTCAATATTCTTTTTTATTTTTAATTAGTATTTATAATATATTGAATTATCATGTTTTTTTTTACGTAGAACTATTACTATAATAAAAAATTAAAATATTATAAAAAATAAAGTATTAATATTAATAATACTAATAATATAATATATTATTATATATAATAATTTAATATTATTACTAATATTAATAATATATTAATAATATATTATTATAATATTAATATTATAAGTATAAAGTATTATATAAAATACTATATCAAGTATTATTATATATGCACAAAAAGTATTAGTTAAAAAATTGATAAAGTTATTCATTAAATTACTAATACTATTTATACTAATTAAAAAAATTAATTATTAATTAATTAATTAATATTATGTAATATTATGTATTTCAAAATTATTATTTTTAATGAATAAAATGAAAAAATGCAAGAAAAATTATTATATTATAGAATTATTATTCAATTATATTATATCTATTTTGAATGATGATTTAATAATATATAAGCATGCGGAACTTTGTACAAAATATTTTATTTATGTATAAATATATGCATCTAAAAAGAATATATGTATTTATACTTAGAATTTTATTTCATAATTATTTTTATAAGCAAGCTAATTATTTAGATACTGAGTCTATTTTGTGAATATGTACATTTATATACATTGTATTTTAATTTTTCTTTATTTTTCTTTTACTTTTTTTAAATATTATAGAATGAAAAAAAAAAAGAAGATAAAAACACAACAATAACAAGTTTATAACAAGGACAAAATTTTTGTCAAATTAAAAAATTCAAAGATTAAAAGATTTTATTAATTGATAATTAATATTGCATTTAAAAATTTTCAATTTTATCATTATTTTTCTTAATCAAAAATAGATATATTATTATATAAATATATCATTATATAATACATAATAACTGATATATAAAAATAAATATAATAATATATTATTATATATTATTAATAAATAAACATTATTAAATACATGTTATGAATATATTATTATAGAATATATTAAATATATCTATAGGATGTATATTATAATATCTCATTTAAATTAAACATATCAATTAGTTTCATTATTATTGCAAATAAATATAATATGACTAAAAATAATTTGAATTGTAAAAAAATATTTTTATATAATTTTAATAGAAATAAATGTACATGATTTCAACACATTTAATAATAATAAAAAAAATTCATTTTAAGTTTTCATTGCTTTCATTTCAGGGTCATCATTTTTTTTTATATATAAACATCTATTTTTTTATGCATTTTAACACCACGACGAGTTCAATAATGAATTATGATTTTGAAATGATTTTAAAATTTATTATATAATATTTAATATCTATAATAATATATCTTAGATATAAAAAATATGTTAATAAATATATTATTATCATAAATATTAAATATACAGAATATTAATCGTAAAACATCTTTAGAGAATTAATTTTAGAAACAAAAATAAATATAAAATTTAATATAGAAATATCAATTGAAATTTATTTATTAAGTTTATAAACAGTAAATTTAAATTTTTATAAATTTATATTAATTTTTATAAATTTATATTATAAGCTGAAATAGAATTATTTATATTATTAATATAATATATTTTATATTTCATAATATAATATTATAATAAATAAATAAATTATTAGATATAAGTTATTATAAGTAAATTAATCTATCATTTTAATAAAAATACTTATTTTCATAAATGATATTTTTATGATCAAACTAGTTCATTTTGATATATTAAGAACTAAAAAATCCAATTTTTACAAAAAATCTAATTTTTCAATTTTAATAATAAATTATGTGATTAATATTTTAAAATTTAAAATATGAAATGATTTACATATCTTAATAAATCTGATTATTAATTGACTTCTATACGATTCATTTTTTTTTATCACAAAAATCTTTTTTATGAATTTAACTAATGAATTTAACTGATGAATTCCTTTACGCAAAGATCTCGTAACTAAAAATTTCATTTATTTTTTTAATTTAGATTGTACTTACGATAAAAATTATATAAAATTTTGTTTCAATAATTTCTTTTAATATAAATAAATGAAGCATTTTAGAGAATTTCAAACAATAAATATAAAAAAAATATCTTATTTTTATTATATAATGTATATGAGATAGTAGATGAAGAATAGAAATCGTAATCTTACACACAATATGTTAATGACATCAAACTTTCATTAAATCTTTTCACTTTCAATATAAAATTTTCTTAAATAAGAAATATCTAATATTAAAACTATCTGTTTTATTCGGTTCTGTTTTGTTTTTCAAAGTTAAGATATTTTAAAACTATTTCTATTTTGAGTTTTATTTGAATTTTTAATTTTTTATATAATATAAAATAATGGTAAAATTTTCAAGAATAAAACAGAATAAAAAAAATTTCCATTCCAATTCATTATCATCAATTGTTCATAGTTTACAAATTAAAAAATTGAAAAAATTATTATTCTATAAAATTAAGAGAATATTAAGAATGCTCTAACTGATTTCAATAATATATATATATAAACAATTCATATTATATTCATATACAATTCATATAAAAATTAATAATTTATAATATCGAAAAAAAAAATAATGTTAAAAAATTCATATTATTCAACTTTTATTTATATCATTATATTAAATTGTTTATTCGAAAAATTACAAGTTTCTACAAAAAAAAAGAATTAATTTCGTATTCAATCAATTAAGCAAAAAACGTTTACAGAAATTTTTTATATTTATAATTTTTTATATTTTTTATATTTATAATTTAAAATATTTACAGAAATTTATTTCGAAAAGAGATAAAATGACCAATACTTTCAACAATCTCTTTAATAATTAATACTCTATTTTATTACTGTATTTTTGATTACTTAATAAATATAAATCTAAATCGAAAGAATAACATTAGATCAAGATATAATCAAATATCTGACGATTATTTAAAGCAATTTTTGTCAAAAATAAAGCTTCATACAAAAAAATTGTATTTATATTTTTAACTTATTTTTTTATATAAAATTCCGATTATACCACTAATTATTAAATATCTTATATATAATTTCAAATATGTCAAGGTCATTATTTTAATTAAATTTTTTCATAGACGTTACTATCGCGCCGCTCGATTTTAATTTTCGAAATATTTAATAAAAATTTTTATTAAATTTATTGTTACATTAATAGTAATATATATATTATTACTATTATTATTTTGATATTATTGTTAGTATTTTGATATTTGATATTTGTAAAATTTTATTAAATCAAAATGAAACTTATTAATATTATTCGAAAAGAATATAATTTTATTATATTCTTTTATAATTATTCATTTTGATTTATTGATTTATTTCTAAAGATAGGTCTATATATTTGTAAATAACTTGCGACATTTCTTGCGGAAACAATTTGCAAAAATATGTAAATTTTTCAAATATTATCGCAATTTATTCTTTGCAATAATTTGTGAAAATGGTTTCTAAATTTTTTACTCATCAATAAATGTCAGAGATGCCTACATTATTCATAGTAAAAAGTACTGCAAGTGGAAATCATAAACTAGTAAAAGGTGACTGGCTCGAAATAACTAGACAAGTTCTGTTTAAAATGTCAACTCATCAAGTTAGATGTGTAGTATATATATATTAAAAAAAAGAAAAACAGAAAAATCTGAATAAGAAATTAGATTATAAAAGAAAAATATAATAAATTTGATATTTATAATATTTTATTTTCTGAGTACACAACTTAATAATTTTCTATGAATTTAAATGATTTTGAATATTTTTTGAAATTTGTAAAACAATAAAAAAATTCGTTTTAATATTTACAGGAAAACATTTATTGAAATGTATTGCATTTATTGAAATTTATTGAGATTCTAACATATAGATATATATTAGATAGATATATATTAGAATAATTAACATATAGATATATATAGCTGATATATATTAAGCTTTGTGATGTGATTATCAGAGAGAACTC